CATGGTTGGTTGCATGGGCATGGAAGAGGACGATGCACTGGGATAAGGCGTCCCCGTCGTGTTCTCCCAGGCGTCCCACGCGCCGTTCGCAAAGGGGCTGGCCATGTTAATGCTCTGAGCAGATTGAAAGGGGCTGAACATCCAAGGTGAAGACGAAGTCGCAACGAACAACTCACGTTAAATAGAAACGCGTCTGTGCAGACGTCCTCGCGAAATCCCAGTGTCGCGGTGCAAGCACGCATGACGCTCAAACTCATTCTCTTGCGGTATTGTGGAAAGTCCGGAGGCAGGAATGCGCTTCAAGGAGGCGGTGGCGATGAGCCTTTAATTTGACGACCGCGAACCTAATTAGGCGAGCGCTACGCCCCGGACCGTAGCGGCTGTGCCACTTTTTTTTACGAGTACATGTGGGTCCATCGTCGGAAGCTATGCAAGTTATTAGCGTCACCCCAAGAAATGCCACTTATCAGTGGCAGTGGTAACATCAAAACCGTAATTTGGGTGTGTACCTGGCGGCGAAGAGTCTCCGGTCCGTATTTTGTCTGCACCACGAGCACCCAGATCATTATCGGTCTTTATTGGAAAAGACCGTTGACATTCACCCGAAAGATTGGAAAGAATTAGCTTGAGGGTGAAATGCCATTGGATTCGCTCCAGCTTTTGGGGCGGCGTCTTTGGGGTTGTACGGATGAATTCGGAGAACGGGGTTTAGGGCAATCGATTCGGGAGACGTTCGACGCATCTTGGCATGGCACTGGTTCGAAGGAGGTGAACACTGAAGATATGGGGAGTCAGAGAACGCATGGCAGGTTAATATGTAGCACAGTACACCGACATGACGATTCGTATTGAGCTTTGACATGGAGGTTACGGGCAGAGCAACAGTCTGAGAATAACCTTGGCATCACGATCCCCGCTAGCATCATGATTACCGACCGGCATTAGCCCTTCGGCGTCGCGGCATATTGCCCGAGGGTAAAAGTGTAAGTACAAGGCGAAACCGCAGAATGGAAGAGACACCACACTGGAAGACCGTATATATGATAGCAAATATGGTAACTGTCTGGCATTTTCTCAACTTCCCTCCCTTGTATAAATTTTGCCCCGTTGCGTTCGAAAGCATGTGTTGCAAGTTGTGCAGCTACTCAATATATAACGGACGCATCTGTGCCTGGCCGGATCTTTTGGGACAAATTAGGGCAGGAACAAGAGGCGCAAAAGACAACAAAAAGGCCATGTCCAGGTTGTGTCTAGGCGTTGAATCGGATTTGTCGGCCGCCGCTTTCAGTGTCAAGCACCGTCTTGGCAATTCTTGGCCCCCAACTGATCGAGATCCCGCATGCACTCTTCGTCGCCCTTTTTCTCGTCCCGCCCCCAAAATGCTGAATTGGGGGCTTACCCGATTCGAGGAATGACCTCACAGTAATTGCCTGCCGAATTTCAACCTCAACAAAGAAAAAACCAACACGAGAAAACTGCAACGTCCCAGTTTCCGCTCTTGAATTTGGCTTCCCTCTTTCAACTCTCGTTCGTCCGACCAGGTGAATATTGAATGCACAGAAAGGTCAGTTTCCCAATCATGACCGATGGCGCATCGTACCAACGACGTACAATCGGGCACGAGGGGAGGCGATTCCTCTTTGTCCATGGAAAGTCCCCGTGATAGTTCCTTTTCCTTGCCTTTTTCGTTGTCATTCTACTAAGTATTTCTGTCTTTGTGCTACCCGCTATTCGTGAGCTAATACAGGATATCCTTCATCACAAACGCCACATCGCGCTGAAGACGCTTATATCGGTTTACAATAAGATTCCCAGCAATTTAGTCCCCCTGCGTAAGTTAGTTTGCCCGTCCTACTTTCTGCGAGCTTCGTTCAGTCAGCTTCAAGCTTGTTGAATTCCGGCCCGGGAATGAACCGCGATCAGTCACATCAGCTGATGGCACGACGCCGTGACCCGTCAACCACCTTTGTCTCTTTCCTTCATGCATCCAGCACTAGAAATTAGTAACTTGCAGCGTCTCCCCTCTCATAGTCGCGTGAGCCCATCTCCTTGGCGCTGTCTTTGTACCACTCAATTCCTCATAGCGAGTGGCATTGGCCGCGTGCAAAAGCGACGCCACGTTTGACGATCTCGTACGGGCGGACAAAGCGGCGGAGAGATCTTCGGACGCGCAGCGCATTTGCTTTCTCCCCATATTCTTCACCCATGTCGATCCAACACAGATCCCGTCCTTGGAAGAGGTGGAGACTCGGGATCCTGCCACCGAAAATCGTCTGGCGTGTGCCACACTGGCTCTGAGATCCATATTCGACATGTCTGTGGGGGACGCCGACAAAGAACTCTGGCCAAGAATCTGGCCTTGGCTGCAGTTTGTATCCGACAACCACGAACATCTCCCTGCCGCATGCGGCGCCAGACCGGACCTACTGCTCTTCCAGTTCGTGGGATTCGTCGCTCAGAATTATTGTTACATCTCTCCCCCTTCCATCCCCCAGTTCGTCTCTTCAACGCCAGGGTTCAGGGTCCTCATTGGGAGAACTTGGATGCTCCTATCGGTGTTGCAACAGGCAAAGCCGGAAACGTTCGAGGCTGTGCACAATTACCTTTGTCGCCTCCTCATCGTTCTGGACTTCGTGGACGAAGGGAATTTCGAAGAGATTATCGAGGGAGCTGGAGGCACCCTCGACGATCTTGCAGCCCTCGCAGTCAAGTTTGTTCACGACGTTCTCGATGGACGACACACTTGGACACTTGCCCCTCACAGCTTTTACATCGGTGTCTTGATGCGTTTCATTCAGACCGGTCATTCTGGCGACAACACCAACCATACGTCTCCCCCGCTCCAAGAGAAGTTCGTGGGATCTTTGCGGCGCAACAAGTTTGTGCCTGCCCTTGTGACTGCGATGGCTTCCCTTGTTACGGTTACCGCCGACATGGAGGCACGGGAGTCTATCCGGCATTCGCTTATACTACTAGAACGGCTTCTTACTGCGCCTTCGTGGTACCTGTTGCTGCCAGACGCACTCGACGCCGGTCTTCTCCGCATGCTGCTCAATTGCGCGATGCGATTCGGCTCCTATTTCGACTACCATCTCGAGTATCTGATGGAAAAGCTCATGGTCGGCGGCCTGGTATATTACCGCGTAGTCGCTGCGACCAAGAGGGCAGTCGTTGATGCCGAGAAGATCTCTTCAACAAGGAAATTCGAAGCGTTGGATATTTATGACCACTGGATTACGTTTACCATGGTCGTGGAAGAGCGTCTTGCGCTAAAGAAACATGTGGATAGAGTGGGCGTCACCCGGGCATGCGATAATATTGAGGTCCGTCCTCTGTTTCATTCACTTCTTGCTGAACTTCCGTCAAAATACAGTGCGCACAAGTTCAAGGAAGCGCCCAACGTCGGCGATGTTCGGGGTGTGATGCGTTCTACTACTGTTCGACAGACTGCCAGGTAGTGGACTGGAAGAAGGGCGGGCATCGGAAAAATTGCAGATTATACAACATCATGTCTCTCGGTACGCCATCGCAACTACTCAGCCGGCGCAGCGTGATACTTACCAAATTGTCAGCGAAATCGCCGGCGTGTCCGCTGAGCTTCCACGAACGAAAATTCATGCGAAGCTTGGTGCAGCGCGACTATCACGAAAACATCCGCACGGTGTGCAAAATGCACGTCGCAGCCATCGCTGGCGATCCCGATGGCAGCGCCGTTATCGTCACCGGCTTCGACTACACCCTCAACGAGGTCCAGATTTCCGCCACGTCTGTAGCACACTGGCCCGCCGCCGCTTTCCGCCGGCATACAATGGGGCCGGAGTGGAAAGACATGGTTGCGCGCGCAGCCAAGACTTGGGGCCGCATTCAACTCTGTGTTATGGTGGTGCCGGAAGGAAACAACAACACGCGCCTGTGGGTTGTTCCTTTACGAATGGAGTCCTCAAAGCTCAGCGACGCCCTCCTCGACCTTGGGTCGAATGTCCCATACGAGTGCGACGAGGAGTTCTTTGCGGATGAGGTGGAGGCCATCGTTGATGAGCATTATGAGTGGTGCGTAGCAATGAACACGCTTATCATGTTACTAACATGCTATGACCATTTCAGCGTGTCCTGGTAGTCGAGGAAGTACTTCGTAGAGGCTGACGATGGTCTCCAGCACCTTGTCCCCTTTTGCTCAGACGCAAATCTAATTAATTCCTTCTGTGTCCTACGCAGCTATGAACCGACCTTGTAGGCCATGGTGGCCGTCCGCTGCACATAGGAGGTGTTGAAAGTTGAAGCGGGAGACAGAGGTTCGACTCCTCCCAACGGCATAATCCTGTGGTTTTCTTCTTTTTTATCTAGGTGTAACAAAATTGGTTCGTTTGTGCGTTTCGGGTATGAAAGAGGTATATTCCTCGAGCATACAACCTCCCACGGGCATGGCTACACATGCGCATAAATTCTTTCTATCTAGTCCCAGGGGAAATATCTTGCCCTTCTTCTGCTCCGCCTCGGCAAGTCACAGAGGCATACAGCCGCTGTAGACCACGGTGGTCGCCCGCGGTACATGTTCGTAAATAGATGCAACTTCAAGTGGGAGACGGAGGTTCGACTCATCACAGTACGATCCCTTTTTCTAATCCGAGTATAACAAGATAACAATGGTGCGCTTCCACTGCAGATAACATGCTGTACCCAGTCTACTGATGCGGCAGACGGAGCTTTAACTTCTCACACCTGGTTCCAATATTTTTAAACACATTCCACTAGCAGAGAAGCAGGTACAGGTGAGCTGGGGGTCCTCAACCCATGAAGGTACTGACGGTCGTGGGCGCCTGCTGCATATGTCACTAAGGCTTCGAATTTAAGCCGGAGGCGGAGGTTCGACTCCTCCCGCCGGCATGACCCTCCAGACATCCTTTTTTATCAGCTTTCCAATACTTCCACACACACCTGGGAGAAACGAGCGAGCCCTCATTTCCTCTTCAACAGATGAAGCCACTCACTGAGGGATACAAGCCGTCGTAGACCACGGTGGTCGCCCGATACATATCATATATCGGGTAATCAAATTGTAAGAATATATACTCGGGAGACGGAGGTTCGATTCCTCCCGGCGGCATAATTGGCCTGCCCAGAGCTTTTTATCTTTGTCCCTCGGTAAGAAAACAACACGGGTGGTCGACTGCTGCGAATCGCATTATCAAGGTAAAACATCCCGATCTTGGTTCCGATATTCTGATACATACCTCGAAGCAACGAGCGCCGATGATTTTGAAGTCCTCGACACCTGGAGTCACTGAAGCATCCAAGTTGAAGCCGTTGTAGACCACGGTGGGCGCCCGCTACACATGGCGTGATTATGTTGAATTTGAGCTGAGAGACGGAGGTTCAACTCCTCCCGACGGCATGAAATCCGTCTTGTCTGCCTTTTTATCCAGCTCTCATTCCAGCTCTCATTCCAGCTCTCATGCAAGTCAACAAGGCGGGTTTCTGTTCAACACGCTGAGTCTACGCACGAAAATAAGGGAGCGTTGTACTTGTAAATCGCAGGAGCAGACAAGACCGAGATCTAAACTATCTAGGTGAAGTTTTCAGGTAGAGGGGAGTAGTGTACGAGTCCAAGCTAGATGCATGACTATAAGGAGCGACGGTAAAGTAGGTAAAGTAGAAGGAACGACGGTAAGGTAAGTAAAGTAAAGTAGAGTCCAGAGGTCCGAAGTCCGAAATCCGAAGGCCGAGCTAAATACTATACCGAAATAACGATAAGCAAGTCCACAACTCCGCAACATTAACCCGTCGAATTCGGGAGGGCGCAAATTCGAACGGTCTGAGCACGAACTGTGCAAAGGCGATCGAGCGCGCAAAAAACAACCCCCCCCTACTCCCCACCCCCTCCTAATACTCCCGCCGCCTCAACCGCCCCACGAACAACCCCGCCTCGCTCCTCAGCGCGTGCATCAGCGACGTGCGGCGCTTTTCTTTGGGCGTTGCTGTTGTTGTTGCTGTTGTTGTTGTTGTTGTGGTTGTGGTTGTTGGGTGAGTCTCGGGCGCGGTGGGAGCGTCACCATCTTGATTTAGCGCGGCGACGGCGCGATCGTTGCCCGTGCCCCCCGGCGTCGGCGGCGGAACCGATAGCGACGCAGGAGGGGGTGGAGGTGGAGGGGGTGAGGCGGGCACAACAGGCGTAGACGGCACAACAGGAGGAGCGGGCGTACGGGGAGGAGGAGCAGGCGTTTGCGTTGAGGGCGAAGGCGACACAAACGACGTGACGCTGCGCAAGCCGTGCAGCAGCGACGCGCGGCGCGAGCGTTTCGGTGTTGGTGTTGGTGTCGCCGCCCCCGCAGCCGCCGTCTCCATCTTGGACGCCCCGTTGCCCTTCTCCGTAACGCCCTCGTTCATCCCCACACCGCCGTCGGCCTTGCTCACAGAACCCGGCGCGGACACCGTGACGAACGACGAGACAGAGGCGCGGCGCAGCGTGCGCAGGAGGGAGGCGGTCACGGAGGAGGCGGAGGGAGAAGTGGAAGTGGGTAAAGCCGGCGTGATAGAGGGAGAAGTGGAAGGGGTGGAATCCGCGGTTGCTTGAATGGGTTTGAACGACGAAGGGGGTGCGGGTGTGGGTGCGGATGCGGGTGTGGGTGTGGATGTGGGTGTTGATTGGGGTAAGGGTAGGGGTAGGGGTAGGGGCGGAAGCGGGGGCAGCGGGGGCGAGGTAGACGGAAGAGGCGGAAGAGGGGGAAGAGTCGACTCAACGAACTGCACGCTCGACGTCTTGCATTTGCGCGCCTCCCCAGCTTCAATGCTCAGTCCCTGGCTCTGCTCCTGCGCCGTCTCTCCCTCTCCCTCTCTTGCTCCTCCTCCCTCCGCCGCCCCGTCTTCCAAATCCCCTCCCTCAGCAAGACTCGCACCCTCCCTTCTCCCCCTCCCCCTCCCCCTCCCCCTCCTACTCAAACTCAAACTCCCCGCACTAACCACCCGCACAACGCCCTTCACCCGCCCCAGCCCCCGCCCCAGCCCGCTCCGGATCCCCAACCCATGGAACGCGGCACCCGCGGCGCTCCCCGTCTTCGTCACGCCCGGGCGCGAGGGCGCGGTCGAGGGCGCGTAGCGCAAGGATGGAGAGGGGGGGTTCGAGTTTTTCACGGAGATCGCGTTTGGGTTCACGGAGGAAGGAGTGGAGGTTGAGGTATCAGACCTGGCGGAGGAGGGCGTTGACAGTGCGGAGGAGGCGGAGGGGGCGCGGAGGGAGGAGGGTGTTGTTGAGAGCGCAGGGGATTCAGAGGGTGCAGGGGACACGGACACGGATAAAAGCGACGCGGGGGCGGGCGGTAGTGCGGTGAGGGGTGGTGACTCCGTCGCAGCGGGGACGACGACGCCGAAGTAATCGTGCTCCAGCGCCAAGCTCGATCCCGCCCCGACGCCGACTGCAGCACCCCGCGCGCGGGCACCGAACGTGCGCCCGCCGGGCGTGGGGAAGTCGCCGGGCGTCACGAGCGTGCCGCGCGACGAGTTGGAGCCGGCGTTGAGCAGGGAGGACGGGAGGGTCGGGGAATCGCGTAGGGGATTTAGATTCGAGAAGGATGCGTTTGAGTTCGGGAAGGAGGGTGCAGAGGAGAATGGGAGGGAGGAGGAGGGGAAGGGCGAGGGCAGCGCGGGCGGGAGCATTGTGGGCGAGGGCGGGAGGTGTAAAGTCGGCGGGAGGTGGAGGGCGACGCCGGGGGTGTTGCCGGCGGAGCTGGTGCGCGGGGGGTCGAGTGAGGGGGTGCTGCCCGGGGAGGTGGAGGCGGAGCGGGAGGCGGAGGGGGAAGAGGAGGCTGCGGGGATGGGTTAGTGTTGGGTTGGATTGGAATTGGAATTGAGACAAAGGCAAGGATGGGAAAGAAAATACGGAACAGAAGGAGCAAAATGAAACGAGCGGGTCGAGAAATTGTCAAGCATGTAACGAGTAACGGGGAAGAGTTTCGGAACGGAGAGGATTCGGGTGCGAGAGAACGCAAGTCGATGTTGTAGGGCATAAAACGCAAACAGAGCCGCGTATGAATGGACGGGGGACAATTGGCAGGACGCGTTGAAAAGGACAAGACAAAAATAAGGAAGACAACGCACGGAAATAAGACGGCAGGAACCCTCTCAAACCCTTCCTCCCTTTCTTCCCCTTCTCCCACTGATTCGACGCAAAGACGACGCTATTGCGCGGATACCCGCCGGGTACCTCGGGACCTGGCGTAGACGGCATGGCGGACAACCACGGCGGGCGCGCAGTCGGGTTGGCGGAAGCCATGAGGATTCAAGAAACGGAAACGGAGTTGAGGGAACGTGAAGCTTGCGGAGACGGTTTGCGAAGTGGCGAAAGGAAAAGATTGCGGTAGAGAAGAAAAGAGGGAGACCGACGATTGGTGGAGCGCGGACTTATCGACGATTGGTGGGCCTGGCCGGGAGCCGCCACGCAGAGAGTCGCGGAGATCATGACGTGCGTGGCGACATACGCCGGAGCAAAGTTGAACATGCACGTGCTGATGCGGACAATGCCGGTGGCGATTCTCACGCGCCCGCCCTTGCTCCGGACTTTCATCCTCCGTCAACGCGACTCAACGGTCCCCTTGAACGTATCCATCTTCGGTTCCCCTTGCTATGGAACCCCACTGAGTTTGTACGCTGGCCGTTTCTCTGTATCCGAGTCTGAGAGTTGGTCGAGCCCCTTTTCGTCCTCTCCCTCTCCCTGCTCTTGCCACCGCCGTTCCATGCGTTCGAAACCATCGACGCTTTTCACCTGAAAGTTGTAAACCTCCACAATCCGTCGCGAATACTCACAAAAGGGTTCAAAAACCTCACCCGTGTACCATTTCGATGTACGCGCCGACCCCGAGTCGAACGGCTCTGCGGAAGAATCGCTCTGCCTGTACACTCCGCGTACCACAGCGCTTTCCTGGGCTTTTTGTCCATAAGGCTGGTGAATGGCTTTGCCGCGCGATTCTCAACATTCTCAGCTGTACACCCAACATCTGGAGTCTACCCTCTCGGCATCGGATGATACGTATCGACGCGGAGAATTTACTAGCTACTCGTCCACACTAAGGCCCCAACCCTGCGTGTCGACGCACACCTACGACTACGCCGGAAAACGTCCACAAAAAAGCGTCAGAGACCAAAATCATGCGCCTGCCCCGAGTCGAACGGGGGCTCTCTGCCCAGTGCCCAATGCTTTTGGCAATACTGCCGTATATATATGGTCGCAGAGGCACACCGCGTGCTACAGGCTCTCCTCCCTACTCTACTCTTTCTAACCTTTGCAAGTGCTGAATATTATCGCGAAGTGGTACATCTCATTGCGCAACGCAAAAGGACTATATCGATCGACGATCTATGCGCCTGCCCCGACTCGAACGGGCCTCCTGTGCGCGATTTTCCACAACCGCCTTATGAGTTACAGATTCACGTCGCGTGCTACAGGCGCTGTATGCACCCGTTTTCCCCCCGGATATGTTAAGCGGTTGCATTATCGGACACCTGATATTTCGAGCCATCTTCAGGTGCGAAAATCACCTCTCGTCCCTGTTCCACTCGGTTTACAAAGTTGAATGTGTCCTTTGGTTTGCCAGTCCCTGTATTAACCCGCGACGAAGAAAAGCAAGAAAATGCGCCGCGCAATTCTTTGAATTGACCCTCTACTCCCCTTAGGTTCCTGTGCAGTTTCTCGTCTCAGTTTGTTGTCTCCCCCGATGATTAAAAAAGCAATGGGCTTCTCCTCCACGCGCCTGCCCCGAGTCGAACGGGGATCTCTGCGAGAATGGTCTTGAATTTTTTTTTTTCACGGGTTGCCAGTGCACACAGCGTGTTACAGGCGCTGTATACATCGCATTTCTGTTCTCAGGTATGGGGTTGAATTTCTCGGCTCGATTCTTGACTCACTCAGCCCAGTTCGAATTCGGTTCTCGACTCATTTCAACGTCTTTTCCAATGAAAAAATAAAATGAACGTAATCACCCCTCGTTTACGTACCTACCCCGAGTCGAACGGGCCTCCTGTACGAAGATTTCGAAACGGTCTTACGAGCTGCAGATGCACACTGCGTGCCACAGGCGCTCTGGCTCATGGTTCCCATCCGCCAGACACGCACTA